ATTTTGTGGTATTCTGCATCTTTATGCATGCAACCAAGTGTGAAGATATTTTCTTATCTTTTTTTATTTATTGGTGCAGTGTCGAGAACTCAGAATATCTGTCTGCTTTGCTGAGGGCTAGCAAGATTCCCCACAATGTCCTCAATGCACGACCAAAGGTTTGTTCTCTACTTTTTTTTTGGGTAGGATTTATGAGTGAAAATAGATAGGTAGGGGTGGTTTTGGGTTAAGAATGTGACTTGATTATTGTTTTCAGTATGCTGCAAGAGAGGCTCAAACTGTGGCCCAAGCTGGACGAAAATATGCTATCACCATATCTACAAATATGGCTGGAAGGGGCACAGACATTATATTGGGAGGTAACCCCAAGGTGGGTTGGCTTTGGCTTGTTCAGTAGTTTTCATTTAACAAATAATAAATGTAGCTCCCAATCCCAAATGTCATATTATTTTTATGCAATAATAGGTTAATGTTATGTTAATTTCAGATGCTTGCAAAAGAAGTTATAGAAGATAGCATACTTTCACATATGAGTCATGATACTCCTGATGTTGAGGTTGAGGACCCAAAGTCACAAAAGGTGATTTCTCAAATATATTAATTCTGTGGTTAATCATTTCCTTATCATTATCTTCCTGTTGTGTAGGTATTATCAAAAATGAAAATTGGACCATCATCATTAGCTTTGCTGGCTAAGACAGCTCTAATGGGTTAGTAATCTATGACTTCATGCAGGTTGATTTGCTTATTATAGCATCCTACTTTCATTTCTTCCTCTTACAACATTCTACTTTGAAAAATGCACCCAGTCATAGCAATGTCATTCAAATACAAACCAACTTTCACTGCTATAATTTGAGTAGTACGTTTTTTTAGTTATAATATCTTCCTAATAATAATAAAAATTGGAACTACTGGCAGATTTTTTAAAGTATGATGCTGTAATAGAAAGAAATGAAAGTAGGATGCTATAATATAATATAATATTTCTTGCATTTAGCTCTAATGGTACATGTTTTTGAGTAAATAATGCAGCTAAATACGTGGGCAAAAGTGAGAACAAGAGTTGGACATATGAGAAGGCAAAATCAATAATTTCAGAGTCAATTGAAATGAGCCAGTCAATGGGTTTAGATGAACTGCATAGGCTTGTGGAAGAACAGGCAGAGATGTACCCTCTTGGTCCTTGCATTGCAATTGCATATTTATCGGTTCTAAAGGACTGTGAGATTCATTGCTTTCATGAAGGATTGGAAGTCAAACGACTTGGTGGTCTCCATGTCATTGGGACATCTTTGCATGAGTCCCGAAGAATTGATAATCAGGTAACTTCACATCAATATTGTGTTTTAAGGTTTTACATAAATTTAGCATATACTTTTGGACTTACTTTTTTTTTTTTTTAATTTATTTCTTGCTTTACAAAGCTTCGTGGCAGAGCAGGAAGGCAAGGAGATCCTGGATCAACACGCTTCATGGTCAGGTAAGTTCTGTTAAATGATCTTTTCATCTGGACAAAATTCTTCATGTTAAATTACGTAATAGTCCTTGGAGTAGTTGACATGAACAGTTTTTTTTTTTTTTTTTTTTTTTTTTTTAGAATGATTCCATATATATGTGCAAGCAAGCACATGCCTTGTGAAAAAGGGAAATCTGTTCTAGTCATTCTCTTTAACAAGGCAACCTTAAAGTTGATGTAGGTAAGATTTTGACCTTTCTATGTTACAGTTTGCAGGATGAAATGTTTCAGAAGTTCAACTTTGACACTGAGTGGGCTGTGAAACTTATATCCAGGATTACTAATGATGAGGATGTACCTATTGAAGGTGATACAATTGTCCGACAGGTGTGATGTAATAGTCTTGGTCGTTACTCATTTAACTTTTTTTATTCCTTTATTTGCATACATATATATATATATATATATATATATATATATATATATATATATAATTCAATATATGTAGTATTAAGGCTAAACGCAAGAAGTAGCAATGTACTTCCATTTCTTCCTATTACAACATTGTATGTTCAGTTGTTATATCATTGTACTTTGTATTCCAATGATATTGCTATAACTGGCTAGTTCTCTCATCTCTGAATGCACAATATTTTAATAAGAAGAAATGAAAGTAGGATGTTGTAATAATAAACCAATGGAAGTATGCTAATTTTGTTGCATCTAATCCCAAGTAACATATGTTCTCCAACTTGAGGAGCATCTGAAATAGTTGTATTCTGTTGAAAGTTTCTCGTTTAGAAATTATATTTATATATATATATTTCATGAAAGCCTTCACCACATCTTCTTTTTATGGCCCTTGGCCCATTTGTTTGTGTAACCTTGTTAAAAGGATGGATACAGACGAGCTGTATGTTTTTTACTTCAGTTTGTTTTGATATACTTTATATTATCTTCTAACTGTTTATTAAAATTGAAACAAATTTCAGCTTCTGTCTCTTCAAGTTTCGGCAGAAAAGTATTTCTTCAACATAAGAAAGAGCCTTGTGGAGTTCGACGAAGTGTTAGAGGTATATTGTGTAGTATAGATCACCACATGCATTTTTTTAGAGTAATACAGTTTACGTCCATGTGTTATATCACTTTTTGTTCTTTGGATATGATCCAAGAAAGATTCTTTTTGCATTTTTGTCCTATTTTATTAATGTTTTTTTGTCAATGGATCGTCCAAGTCAACAGTCAATATCTCAATTTTATGAATCTTTTTTTTTTCTTTTTTTCTTTTTGGTTGAGTGTATCTTTGCATGCTTGTTTTAGAGCAATCTTCGACCTTAGCTTTTTTTTTTTTGTTAAATATATATATGGTTGTAAAACTGAATAAATAATTTTCTGGTTTCAGGTGCAAAGGAAGCATGTTTATGACCTCCGTCAGTTAATTTTAACTGGTGATTCTGAGAGTTGTTCACATCACATATTCCAGTGAGTGTTTTGCTTTGTTACTTATTTTCCCCATGAACTGATGCCTGTATGATGGTGTAAAAAAATATAATGACAACCCACTTAGGGAAATAGAAAATGATGGCAAATTTGTAAAAAGTTAGGACTTAATAGAGAAAACCTCCTTCCTCTTGACTTTTTCTATCAAGTAAAAGGTAAGTAAACCCATAAAAATAGCTTACCAGATCAAGTTGTGTTCTCATTAAGTCCATTAAATAAAAAAGAAACAAGATCTAAGTGTGTATATGGTAGTTTTGTTGCTGTTATCTAAATGTTTTGTGCATGGTTACTAGGTACATGCAAGCAGTTATAGACGAAATTGTTTTGGGAAATGTTAATCCATTGAAGGTAATCAAATCTCTTTATTTAAAAGACTAAAATTCAAGTTCTAATCTCCAATCCATAATCTGTATGTATATTGAATAGCATCCAAGCAGCTGGAACCTAGATAAACTCTTGAAGGACTTTGTTGCAATTTCAGGGAAGATTTTAGATGGTGAGATTTCATTTCAGACCTATCTCTTATGCCTTGTTTGGAACTGGGGCAAAATTGTAATTTCTTGTCCCGCCCAACAAAAGACAAAGGTCAATGCAAAAAGGTGGTGGGATTTGTTGTCCCAGTCCCACCCAAAGAATGGAACAAGGATGCAAAAGACGTAAATGCCCTCCTCATTTTGTCTAGTCCAGCGCACAACCTTAATTTGGAAATACTTTCATCTTTGGATTAACTCTGTATGGTTTTTATAGAGTCGTGTGCGGGAATTACGGTTGAAACTTTAATGCAATCACTTGCCAATGTTGATGAAGTGAGTGATGTAGATATCAACAATTTCTGTTTTCCAAATTTACCCCAACCTCCAAATGCCTTTAGAGGCATACGTAACAAGACTTCCTCACTAAAACGCTGGCTAGCCATATGCTCCGACGATTCACTCTCACTCAAGTGCGTAGCGTAAATTTTCTGTTTCTTAATTAACTTTGGCAAAATACAGAAAAAAAGAAAGAAAAAAAGAAACCCTTATAACATGATTTAGCCACTTAACTACTTCATGCAATGATTAAGACTTTTTATTTGAGACGTCAACTGCAGAGATGGAAGATATCGACTTGCTGCTAATCTTCTGCGCAAGTACCTTGGCGATTTATTAATTACTTCGTACATGAACATCATTCAAGAGTCTGGTTATGCTGAAGACTACGTCAAAGAAATTGAGGTAACTCTAGTCTCTACCCCTTTTCCTTTTCCTTTTTCTTTTCCTCTTCATAATTTACATTATAATTACATATGTTTCGATCTTGTATTTCCAGAGAGCAGTTCTTGTGAAGTCACTAGATTGTTTCTGGAGAGATCATCTTGTAAACATGAACAGACTAAATTCAGCGGTATGGCTACTTTTGTAATTTCTCCATTCCATGGTTTGCAAATTACTTATTTTAGTATTAGGCAAAATATAAAATAGCTGAAATGTAGTTTCATCATCGCTTTATGATTATTTAGCAAGAAGTTTAATTGGCTGGTGTACAGGTAAATGTGAGGAGTTTTGGGCACAGGGATCCCCTGGAGGAATATAAAATAGATGGTTGTCGGTTTTTCATATCCATGCTCAGTGCAACTCGAAGATTAACTGTTGAATCACTTTTGAGGTACTGGTCGTCTCCTATGGACTCCCAACAAATATACACCTAATATATATAATATATATTATATAATATATAATATACATGTATCATTGTATAGGTCTTATGTTGTAATCTTTTTGCCTTCTTGGTGTAGAGTTAGGAGTTATCATTTATTGATTTTATTTGCTACTTAATACTAAAATCTTTTCAAACTAATTTACTTGTGTGGATGGAAACATATAATGAATATTTTCTACCATCGTGTGCTTTTCTAAATTCTGGAAATTAGCATATGTCCTTTTCAAACTAATTTACTTGTGTGGATGGGAACTGATATGATTTTTCTGTAAACTTTTGAATGACGTACAGGGACAATTTTGTAAATGTAAGGAAGATAGAATGATTTATATAATAATAAGGATGGGGCTTTTATTTCTACAACCAAAACTTATTTATTATGATTATTATTATCATACAAAAAACATATTGTTAATAATACATGTATATCGATCAATAGAAACATCATGACCTCAAAACAAACTAATCAACAACAGCAACGCGAATACTGTTTCCTATTTCCATAGAGCCATGATAACAGATATAACTATAATTTCAATCCCATGAAAGCCTCCAGGAAGAAATCTCGTACCTGCAAAACCAAAAGTCAAATAAACAAATCAAGTCAAAGTCAACAAATTAAGATGATGACTTTAAAATCCGATTGCCAAGCCTTGACTCGTTCCTGTGCTGTCTCACCTTGACTTTGATCACCAGAAGGAGAGGTGGCTTCCAATACCCGTATCCCAAGTCTTCTGCAGTCGGCTCCAATAGCACCTGTTTCAAAATTAAAAGCAATAATCATAAATATATGGGATATATACAGTAAAGTCCCAATATTTTCATCGATTTGACAAGAAAGTCCTAAACTTTATTTTTTTGACAGTAAAGTCCAAATTACCGGCACTTTTTGACATTTTTACCATTTTTTCCCGGTTAGCCGGTAATTAGGATTTTTTTGTCAACAAAATAAAGTTTAGGACTTTCTTGTCAAATCGTCAATTAGGACTTTATTGTCAAAAAAATAAAGTTTATGATTTTTTTGTCAAATCGTTGAAAATATTAGGACTTTAGTGTATATATATTTTTTTTGGTTAGAAATTTAATAGTATGATACTCTTTAAGCATAAGAGTTATTGAAACATTCTCTAATCAGTTAGATCCTATTGAAATCTTTTACGTTTGTTTCTTGTTAAATCATTTTTTTAATCTCAACAAACCGACATTGAAAAAAATTGAGATAATCAAGAAAGAAAGAAATAACCAGGGTTGTGTTGGCTTTTTGTAGCCCCAAAAATGGAGAAATTAGAAACCGAAAAAAAACGAAATTGCCTTTCTTTCCAATCTCCGCATTAACACCCTTTTGACTAGGCATGTGTTGTTTGTGTTTGTATAAAGCCAGGATACTTTCGTCTTTTTAGGTTTCTAATTTCTCCATTTTTGAGACTGGAAAAAAGCCAACACAACCCTGGTTATTTCTTTCTTTCTTGATTATCTCAATTTTTTTCAATGTCGGTTTGTTGAGATTAAAAAAACGATTTAACAAGAAGCAAACGTAAAAGATTTCAATAGGATTTAACTGATTAGAGAATGTTTCAATAACTCTTATGCTTAAAGAGTATCATACCTTCAAATTTCTAACAAAAAAAAGTATATATACACTAAAGTCCTAATATCTTCAACGATTTGACAAAAAAGTCCTAAACTTTATTTTTTTGACAGTAAAGTCCTAATTGACGATTTGACAAGAAAGTCCTAAACTTTATTTTGTTGACAAAAAAGTCCTAATTACCGGCTAACCGGGAAAAAAGGGTAAAAGTGTCAAAAAGTGCCGGTAATTTGGACTTTACTGTCAAAAAAATAAAGTTTAGGACTTTTTTGTTAAATCGATAAAAATATTGGGACTTTACTGTATATATCCCTAAATTATATATTTAATTTTCTTGTTTTATAAATTTCGGTGGATGATCAAGGATGGACGGATGGATGAAATATCTTACAGTTGCTGAAACATGGAAAATGCGAGGTGTTCATGAGATTGGTGTATCCGGGATTGCATTCACATGTATGCGTATATGTATACGAAAGATTCTTGGAGCATGTACCTTCTCCACAGTATGTCCAGTAGCAAGCTAATTAAATTAAATAATTCCATAAACAGTAAAAGTGATTAGTAGCAAGCTAATTAAATCAATCCTATGAATATGAATATGGTTGAAGATAAAGTTTAGATGAATTAAAGTTGGAAGAGATTACGATCGAAGACAGAGATATTATCAGGAATTGGTGGACTTGGAGGAGCAGCCGGCATGCACGAGTAGTCTAGGGTACCTGCATAAAAAAACAAAAGAAAAAAAATGGTCGTTAGTTAATTTGTCTGTTTCAAACCATCATTAATTTTGGTGAGTGAATAGTTATGTACAGTTGGGAATGACGCAAGGAAGAAACTGATGATCATCTTCTTCGTTGTCGTCGGTGGAACGAGTCCTCTTCCATCCAGGTTCACACTGGCAAACGAATTGAAATGGTTTGCCGAGATCAACCGAGCAGTTTCCTTTACCACAGTTGACTTGATCACAGATGTTGTCTATAGTGTCGAATAACATTGACATGCATAAATATTAGAAATTAGTATCTAAATAAATATATATTTATTCTTTTATTGACAAATATCATTATATTAAACCTCCTCATTAATATTATATTTCTCATATTATACCACTTGTCAAGATATTAATTATCCATTTTAAATTTTAAATTTTAAATTTTAAATTTCCCACCCTAATTACATTAAACTTTAAATTTTAAATTTTAAACTTTTTCACTTTAATTATATTAAATTAATAACATTAGATTAAAAAAGTAAAATAAAATTTATATAGATTATAAGATGATATAACTTTACGTATTTATTTAAATCAATGATTATAATTTTATATAACTAAAAAAATATATTTTAAGTAATAATTTATTTAAAATAATTAATTAATAATTTTGATTTTTTAATATGAAAGTTTAATTAATTTTATAACCATGGTTCTCACGGGTTATAAACTAGTATATGTATATATAAAATGAAATAAATTTGTTATTTGTAAGAAATAGGGTTTTATATATATATATATATATATATATATATATTTGCTTAGTTACCGAAGAAAGGCGAGAGAGTAGGTGGTATATTGATATCGTCTCCTTGAGCCATGGAAGATAGGAATACAAGAACAAGTAGCATGGCAGAAGAGGAAGCCACTGAAAATCTGGAGGAAGCCATCGTATATGTTTTCTCTTCTGCAACTCCAAGCTGTAGGAAATGTTTGCCTACTAGCTACTATGCTTTTATAATATCCCATTCCTTCCATCCAAACTTAAAAAATGTTTTGACTAATAACTGCTACATAAAATATGAAATATTTTACAAACAAAGTCAACATTATCAGAAAGTTTTGTACTAATTTCAACAATTGTCCGGCGAAGTTTTCAAACCTAGCAGGTATCTCTGTTTCATGTTTGAACAAGTACATGAAATTATAACGTCATGCTATATCAATAACACAAAATATCTAGTAATAATATGAAATCTTGTTTGGCTCCTGCTTTGTTTATGTTTTTAAACCTAAGAGGATCTCCACCCAACACTTAGACCCTTAAAGTATCCAAATAATTTAATCAATGAAAAATGTCATTTTAACCCTACAAACTTTTCCTATTTGTTTTAAAACACCACTTAATTTTTATTTTTATTTTTTATTTATTGTACTTTAAAGGAACGAAGTCCATTTTTTAGCGTTTAAAATGTCCTTATCGAAAAAACTCGTAAGCCGGTCATATTTAGGCTGGTCATCAACATGGAGTGTCATGTAAGCATTGGCGGGTGCCATGTCATTGCCATGTGTACTCCATTACATTCAAAATAGATTTAAATTAGACGCAATCATCCGTACTTCCTTTCTTTCGTTTGAAACAAAAAACCCTTCTTCCCATTCATATATACTGTCAATGGCAACATACATCAAGATTGATCTTCATTTCCAAGGAATGTTCATGTATTGACCAAAGTGACTTCATAACCATGAAGGAGTAACTTAGGAAAATCAAAATGAGGCTCACATCGATAATTAATGATGTCCTAGAAGATGATGAAGATGATAATGTCTCAAAAGTTAATGGTAAAACAAGGTTCAATGAAGATGTACCTTAAAAGAAACAGTTGCTTATTCAAGGTATGAGATTTACCAACCCTGAACAATTGAAACACATTTTGTGCAATTATGCTGTAGCCAATGGCTATCAATTGTGTTATGGAAAAAACGATAGTAAAAAACTATTGGTTAAGTGTTGTGGTGGTGATTGCACATTTAGGCTCTAAGCTTCATGGATGTGTGAGGAGCAATCATTCCAACTTAAGTCTCTTATTATTGATCATAATTGTTCTAGAAAATTCAAACTTGGTTCAATTGTTAACTTTAGATGGATTGATAGTCATTTCACAAGAGAAGTTCTTGAAAAAGAGAAATTCAATGTTCAGATGCTAAGAGAAGAAGTGAAAAATAAATTTGACATAGAGGTGGGTATGGGTCAGCATATGAGAGCCAAGCAACATGTAGTGTCCTTTATTGAAGGTACCATAATGAAAAATATGCAAAGTTGTGGTTTTATGTTGATGAGATAATAAGCTCTAATCTAAGCTCAACTATGAAATTGTCTGTCAATTCTATGCCATATGGGAAAAAGTACTTTAACAAGATTTATATATGTTTTGAGGGACTGAAGTAGGACTGGAGAAATGGGTGTAGAAGGATTATAAATTTGGATGAGTGTTTTTAAAAGGTATGTGTATGGAGAGTTAATATGTGTTGTTGGGAGGGATGACAATAATCATATATTTCTAATTACATGGATTGTGGTATGTGTTGAAAATAAAGATAACTGGAAGTGGTTTTTGGAAAATCTGCAAGAAGATCTTCCTATTCAATCTAGTTTTGGCACACATTGCCGCCATTTTACTCTCAAATAGTTCTTTCATCTGCTTGAGCTCAACTTGGGTCTCCATAACAAACAAATCTTAATCAGTCAGAAGTTTAAGGTCAAAAGCATGAAACCCTCCTTCGTGTAAGAAGATGTTGTTGGAAGAAGCCATGATTGAGGTTATTTATATATTGGAGAGCTGATTGTTTTGTGCTAGATAAGGGTAACTAAGTTTTTTGGGGATATCTCATTTAGGGTTTCATCTTTTTTTATAGTCGGGACCACTATCCAACTTAGCATACCTTGAGGATTAAGGGTGTTACAGTAACACTTACTAAGCATACAACTCATTAGCATCTATCCTACGTGGCACGAAAACCACTAATGCAAGGCTAAAGGATTTATTTAGTGGTCATATTCAAGTATAAGCCCTTAAGTACAAAAAATGGTGACCTTTTAAAACAAATGATTTTTTTTGTAGGGTTAAAATGTCATTTTCCCTTAAGTTAATATTTAGTGAATTAAACTTAACGATAGTAGGATGCTGCCACACCCCAAAACCGGAACGGCAGAAACGTTCGAGGGTGGAGGACGTCATGTTTAGTTTCACAAGATATGCATCATAGTAATCAAAGTAATAAACAACCATTTCATTAGAAAGAAAGTGTTTACAAAGTATGTGTTCACAAAACATAGAGTACATAAACACATAGCAAAACAAGACTTGAAGCTATACTGCTCCATCTTCTGAATTCCCAACACGAGTACCTGTCTACTAGTTTCCTGAGAATACAAGTTATTTTGAAAGAGTTGATCAACAATTAAGCTGGTGAGTTCATAAGAATTTAGTGATGTATGTCAATTGTAGAAAATTTAGTAACTTGTAGTAAATTGTAAGTTTTGTTTAGAAAAGTTCGCATGTTCCTCCAGAAAATCCTATATTTCATGCTTTGATGAAAGATAAGTAAAAATGACTCTACAATCCTTTCTATGAGTACTAAATGGATACAAGTTATATAAAACTCAGAGTAAACAAACAATCGATTGTGTGTATCTACCCTAAGACCACAACCAAATAAGGAACAAGAAATGAGGCGGATGGCACACATCCCATTGGTTGTTAGATCCTTGTTGTATATAACCCTAGTGTATTCCCTTGGTACTCACGGAGTTAACTATAATAGTTCCTTTATAATTGATGAAAAGATTCTTTAAGAAAACCTTATTTCTTATAATAAAATAGTAACCACAGTGGTTCCTTCTATAATCACTTAGTTTATACTAGCTATATATAATATAATATCGAACAAATAGTTAATTGTGTGGATCTACCCTAAGCATACAACCAAACAAGGAACAGGGAATGAGGTTGAAGGCACACATCCAACTACCCATCGGATATTAATTATATATAGCCTTGATGTATAAACTAAAGTATTGTAGAGTTAACTACCTAAGGTCCTTTAAGTTATGCTGGTTTAATAAAATGGATTAAACCCTTTACTGGTAAGTTTCTAGTTTTGTATACCAAAAGTTCTGATTTGAAAAGTATGTTTTGTACTAGAAAACTGTGCATTGAATTAATGTCCTATGACCTGACCCATACTTGGTACCCCTTATGCTGACTTAATGTATACGTAACATATATATAATTAAGATCGAATGGATAATAGGCTGGGTGAATCTGCTCTAAGCCCACAACCAAACAAGGAACATGAAATGAAGCGGAAAGAACACATCCTATTACCTATCGGATCCTATTAATATATATCCCTTGATGTATAAATTAAGGAATCATAAGGTTAGCATTATGGTCACTTTCTACTGAATGTACTAGACTCGACTGTTCTGTTCGTCGTTTGAAAAGATGTAAGTTTTCCCTAGTTTATAACTATCTTGACTCGAAAATAGTTTGTATTAACTTTCAAGTGGAACTGTCACTTTATGAAAGTAATGGAAAAATATAAGTACTCAGTTGTCTTTTGAATTGACATCCTGACGTACTAATTACCTTAAAACATGTTTGTTTTATTAAGGTCATAATGTGAAGGCTAGTTCCCATACTATACGCTCTCCCTGTCAAAAGATTCTGGGAACCAAACGCGACTTCAGCAAACCAGTTGCTAGGTCGTGTAATCCACATTAAAGTTATATGATCATGTATACCCAATATGTTATCACCAATTGTTTAGAACAATGCGTTAGTGATTATTAGATCCTGTAGTTGTTCCATGCTATAGCATCGTTCTGTTATAGAATCTTAATATGTTCTTTCTGTTATCGTGTATTGTATCTACCTCCCTGTTTTTCTTTATAGTATGTTCTTATATCTAGTATGAACTGAACCCCTAAACTATACCCCTTATAGTTTACTAGTATTTTACCTGAATTGTTATTGAAAAGACTCATTTTACTACTAAGTTATGCTTGTACTTTAAAAATGGAGTTTTGTTAAACTATAAAGCAACATAACTTTAAAAGAGTTTTTGAAATGTTTTGATCACTTATAAAAGACATAAGCAATATTTTGCAAGATGTTTATAACAAACATTTACACAATTAACATTGTGTTCAACTTGTATTTCCCCCCTTAAAACATTTAAAACAGTTAAAAGATTCATTACGGGGTATGAACTCACCTAATGTCGGTGATTAAAACGAATATGCGCGTAAGGATGAGAAGTTCCACGAATGAAGTCCCGAGACACAAACGAGTCCTAATGACATATAATGGCATATATTGGCATGCATATAGTGTTTAGAAGTAACCATATGCAAGGAAACACCTTTAGGGACTTGGAAACACTTGAATTGAAGTGTAGAATCACATGTGATTGATCAAGGGAGAGTTCACGACCACCAAATGGTGTTTACGGCCATAAACTCATGATCAAACATGTATATGAGGGTGGTTTAAGGTCCTATTTGCATCAAGGAAGTGTTCTAGGTCACAAGCTTTGCTTCTAGGAGGGTTTATGGCCAAAATGTCACCATTATAAGGGTTTAAGGCCAATGGAGATGCTCTTGGCCGTAAACTCCTATTGTTCTTGGGAAATGAATGATTTCAAGGTATATATCAAGTGTTTCTAGCATACCACTAGTTAAGGGAAGAGTACTTACGATATAGAGGCTTGAAAGGGTTGATTTCAGCCAAGAACACTAGTGTGTGTTCTTTGTGAAAGTTGAAGATTTGAAGATCTAGTCAATAAGATGAGTTCCATGGATGAAATCATGAGATGATACTAGATTAAGAAGGATTAAAAACAAACCAAAGGAAGAACACTTACATTTATGAAGATCTAAGTGAGAAAGCTTGATGATACTTGAGAGAGTTGAA